ACTGAACGACCCACCGATGGACGGACAGACAGACAGGCAGGCAGGCAGGCAGGCAGGCAGACAGAGACAGAGGCAGAACGACAGACCGACAGGTGGACCAGCAGACATTCAGACAGGCAGACACGCAGAAGGGCAGGAAGACACGCAGACAGGCAGGAAGTCAGGCAGACGGGCAGGAAAACAGGCGGACATATAGACTGATGAACCGACCGACCGAGCGACCAAAAGACAGACACAGGCAGACAACCTTCAGCAGATTTACAGTCGGTCGCTTTTAACCGCTCTCGGCCACTCTCCTGAAGAATTCAGCATCCTACAGGATTTGAACCTGTGACCTTCAACAGTTCAACTTACAGACAAATTTCCACCGTTTTCTGGGTGGCTTAGGCTGCTGGCCAGATCCAGGTTCTAATGACTGTCGGTGTCTTGTCTGTCTCACAGAGCAGTCTGTTTCGACTCATGCTCTCTAACAAAGTCATGCAGAGCTGTTCAGAATGGATCAGCTCCAAAATCTTTGACAGCACTTGATTACTATGATTACAATCATTACATTGATTAGTCTTTTTTTTCCGTTTTTTAAAGGGAGATGGCCTTGAGGTATCACGATGGAACTAACAGTCCACTAGTAATTCAGGTTAAAAAAAAGAAGAAAAAAAAAAAAAGAAAAAAAAAAAAGAAAAAAAAAGAAGGTTTACTTTGTTCATCTGTTTCACATCAGGATTCAAAATTAGATCTGTTCTGTTTATCAATAATTGATGGATGTACCATTGAGCCACAGTCGGCTGGGGACTGGGCAAGTTTCTCTCAAACAGAACATGCTGTCTTTTGTTGATTTTCGGCACGAAGTCTGACGGAATGTGACCTCTGTTTTGGTGCAGGTTCAGCACCCAGGCGCATACGAGTTGATGATGCATGACTTAAGAAATCATCGGCGGTTCGCAGCCTTCTTACAGAAATGGGAACTGCCATTTGATCTTCTCTCTGTACTTCGGGAACTCGAATCTCAGGTATTTTTTAATTTTTTGAAAATTTTTGATTTTGAATTTTTTTTTCCCTTTTCGTTGTTTTTTGCTGTTAGAATCAGTTAGATGCTGTTCTCCCTTGCTTCTGGATCCTATTTTCCAAATATTTTATATCTAGCATTAGCAAGCCCAAATCAACCAAATCTCAGGGCATACTCACACGGGGACCTATAATCCCAAAATCCCAAAAAAAAGGGTAAAAGGCCGGTCACACGGATCTACCAAATTCGCAAATGTACTATTCCAGTGCCCATTTGTCAGCGGCTTGGGAAGCCGGAGGGCAAGGGATTTTGCGGTCACCTCTGGAGGTGACCCCAAATGCCCTTTTTCATTTGTTGCATTTTTCTTCGAAAATTGGCAAAAATTTGTTCACAAAAGTTCTTGCACAATTTGTGGATGCCGCCGTGTGACCAGCCAAGTACCAAATCCCCATTTCTCCAGATGGCCGAGACCTTGTCCCATCTGAAAAGGCACAGCAGTGTGACGTGAACCATCCCCAAAACCTCAAATCGGCCCTTCCCAAATTGTGGATTTGGGGTCGCCGTGTGAGTATGCCCTCAGATGTACCCATGACTTTCTTTTTTTTTTTTTTTTTTTTTTTTTTCAGCCATGACTGTAACCATGATTGACACTCTTTCCAAGAAAAAAAAAAGAACAAAAAGAAAAAAGAGACTTTCTGACCCTTTCATAATCACTTAATTACTTGGACTGTGTAATTACTTATGTATGTACTTTGTGCAAGGAAAATGAGGTCCTCGCATTTGTTACTTAAATGATGAAAATAATTCAAAATATTAAATACCTTTAACTGGCGAAGGAAGCTTTGAGAATGGGTTTCCACAACTTTCCAGCCTTTCAATCAACGATGGATGCCCGATCTTAAATGAAGGCATCTTATCCTCCACCTCCTCCCGTCTTCTAGATCCTTTCTTACCTAATTGAGAGGGCTGGGTTTGAATCACTCCTCAAGTTCTGGCCATAGTTTCAAAAAAGAAAAAGGAAGAGAAAAGGGAAAAGCAAAGAGGGGTGATGAACCCAGTTCTGAGAAAGTGCACAGATGCATGGCCATGCATGTCCTCAAATCACAGAAATGAATGTCACCAGCTCAAAGGCAGCAAATAGATTAGAGGATAGACAAAGGAGGAGAAGAATAGGAGAGGAGGATGAAAACTTTTTAATACTAAAGAGTGGATACGATTCCACGATTCTGCCACCCTCCTTCAGACTCCAGGGTTCTTCCGTACTGCTCGCCACTTCGCTATTTCGGACCGTACCCTCCACAGATGACGTAGCCAGTGTTTCTTCCCGCAGCATCTCGTGGGACACTTTTTTTTTTTTTTTTTTTTTTTTTTTAAATCACCGGTTGAAGGAAACTCTTCCTCCAGCGCAATGTCATGTCCTCCAGCATAATATTTAATCCACCGCGATGTCAACTGGCTTTATGGAGGTTGATGCACGAACCCGTGCCCTGGCCTGCTAAAGCAGGACGCTGTCTTTCCAGCAAGCAACCATCACTAGATAAGTCAGGTAAGCCTCTCTCTCACTGCTCTCTCCACTCTGCTCTCTGCACAGGTATCATCTCCCTTCAAACCTACCCCTCTCTCTCTCTCTCTCTCTCTCTCTCTCTCTCTCTCTCTCTCTCTCTCTCTCTCTCTCTCTCTCTCTCTCTCTCTCTCTCTCTCTC